CCTGTCAGGGACTTGCAGAGCCAGAAGGTCCCCCCTGAGCCTCCTTTGCTCCAGGCTGAGCCCCCCCAGCTCCCTCAGCCCCTCCTGCTGCTCCAGCCCCTTCCCAGCTCCATTCCCTTCCCTGCACACGCTCCAGCCCCTCCAGGTCTCTCCTGTTGAGGGCCCAGCACTGGGCCCAGCCCTCGAGGTCCCTCAGCAGTGCCAGCACAGGGGAACAATCCCTGCCCTGATCCTGCTCCCTGGAAAGGGAAGGATATGTTTGGGGCAGCACCAACACAGCATTTCAGCTCTTGCAAGAGGTGCTCTGAGCACAGTGAATCTCCAGCTCTTCCCTGTGGTTCAGCTTTGGATTAGATTTTTCCAGAGTTTTGCTCTACCCTTAGTCTTTGAAATTGCTTCTCTCCATGTCATTATGGCACAGGGCTTTTAATTGATTGTGCTTTGGGCTGACCTCTTTACCAGGAAAACAGCAGTTCATCTGCTCTGGGTGGCAGCAACAGCCAAACACTGTCCCTGTTTCAGGAAGCTTTAGGTTTGCTTTTTAATTTCTGACACAAAAGGTGATACACTCATTCTTTCGTCAGGCAGGTCCAGTGGGGGAGCTGCATACCAGTTTCCTCTTCAAAAATCCCCACTGACTGACTGATTTCTGTTGTTACTTTAACTATCTCTCTTGTTTTTAAATAGACCTTTAGGTATTTTGGGTTTTTTCAGAAGGAAGCAGTATAAACTGTGTCAGTACTTGGCACACAATTAGCTATGTTTTTCCAGATTGCTTTATTTCTGAGTCACTTGTGTGATAAATTACTGACTTGGATGGCAAGATACACATTATTTGAAATTCTTTATGCAGGGTTATGGTCTGAGCCTGTGAGAGATCTCAGAGCATTCTAAGGACACAAGCGTCTGAGCCCTGAGGGAATCCAAGACTGCCATAACATTACCCGGCTTCTCCTTAGCTTACCTTCTATTTAAAAATGGGCTAAAATTGCTTGTCAGGGGGGATGTAGCAGAATTCCAGCCGGGATGTGCCCCAGGTGGCACCAGGAACCAGCCAGAGCCCTGTGCAGGGGGCAAACCCACACCTCCAAAGTGAAAGTGGAAGGTCGGCAGCACTCAGTGAACGCTGCTCAGCCTTGACTCTGGGGTTCAACCACCTCTTTTTGCTGCTTGCAGATGGCTCCGAGAGGTTCCTCTGTGAGTCTGTCTTCAGCTTCCAGGTGGCGTCGACGCTGAAGCAGGTGAAGCACGGTGAGCACCGTCTGCTGCGGCGGGGAAGGGGGCAGGGGAGAAGCCTGACCTGCTCTCGGGTGCCAACCACAAGAAAGCACCACGAACGCTAAGTCAGGCCACCCCCCGAGTCCTTTTGCAAGCCCTATGCAAAGGAGCCCGCAGAGCCTGGGTGGGAACAGGCCCTGCCTCCCAAAGCTTGTTTGTCCGTGGTGCTGCCTGTGCGGGAGGTGAGGCCAGAGGAGGAGGTGATGGGCAGGAAACACCCACGCTCTGATCTCTCAGCCCGGCACTGAGTGTCTCTCTGGCCCGGGGCAAAGAGACGCTCCATTCCACCTTTGTTTCTCAGCTGAGCCCTCGTGGCACCGGCAGGGTCAAGCAAGGTTCCCAGAGGTGCTCAGGAGGTGCCTGGCGTGGCGTGGTGTGACGGGGCTGACTCCACTCCCTGCCTCCCCAGGGAACAGCCTTACGTCTTCTTTGAACCTCTGTTTCCCTCCTGGGCCCTTCGCCCTGTAACCAAAGGATGGGCTTGACTGCACCCAGCTTGGGTTCTCAGAGCAGAGCTCAGCACCAGATCCTGCCTGCTGCTGCAGGGTCACATCCTTTCTGTCCCCACCTCTTGTCAGCTCAAATGGTACTTCCACCTGTTGTCTCAGGCCGTGGAGGTTTCCTGTCCTCCTCCGGTTGTCAGGAGGTGGTCTGAGGGCGTGCAGCAGCTTGCAAGGCCGTGATCCTCTATTTATGAACCAAAAAGCCAAGCTGAACTTCTGAGCCCTTGTTTCCACAGCTCTGTTGTGGCTGTAGCTACCGGGGGCTGCTGCACAGCCTGGCACCCCGACAAAGACCAGCCTTGGAAACTGGTTTGCAGAGCACCTCCCTGTTTTCTCTTTGTAAGAAAGGTGTAGGGCTTAAAGGAAAAGATCAAGGTCATCATTTTTTGGCTTGTTTGTTTGACAGTTCCCAAAAGCACTCTGTTGCAGAGGTGGAGTGAGAACAGTCCCTCTCCAAAGCACCCAGTGCTGCAGTCAGCATAAATCATGCACAGTTTATGTTACACCTCTCTCTAGTCCTGGGCCGTCTCTCCAAGAGGCTGCAGTGAGTTTACAGCACACTGTTACACTTTCAGCAGAGCCAGGAGAAGAGATAATTCCCATCTCTGCACCACTGCAGATAATTTAACTGAAAATGGAGCCCATGTACCCAGCACACAAATCAGTTATAGATAAACCTAAGAGGAACGTGTTGTCTTGGGGATCCCCAGGGACAGACCTTCATCTTGTTAGCAGGATCTGATTGCAGAGCCTTTCTGCCACACTCACCCAGGTCCTCCTCCGAGGACCTTCATTAAAGCCAGGAGTTCTTTGTGCTGCTCCCAGCTCTCCCGTGGGCTGACCAAGCCCTCTGAACTTCTCTGTTCTTCTGCACTATAAATATTTATGCTAAAGAAATGAGCTCCATCCTGTTTTCACCCCTGTACACTAATGGGCCTTGTGTTTCCCTGTTAGGACTTGAATGTACACGGCACGGGCAGGGATGGGTAAATACACACCGGGGCAGAAAAGCCTGTCCCTGCTTTCTCCTCGCCTTTTGCACAGGGGGGTTTGGATTCAAATGGGCTCGGTGGGTTTTATTCCACCCTGCTCCCCACTGACAGCTGGGAATTTGCATCTAATTGAAAGGTTTAATTGCACTGCCATTGCAAACCACAGTTACCTTTGAACTCGCAGATCAACAAGTCGCAAGGATGGAAAAACTAGCCGGTCTGGTGGAGGAGCTGGAGGCAGATGAGTGGAGGTACAAGCCAATAGAGCAGCTCCTGGGATTCACTCCTTCCTCGGCCTGAGTGTGTCTGGATTGCTGCTGTCAGGGAGCAGAAGAAAAACATTCCCTGGCCTGGCTTCCAAACCCCCCCCATCCATGAGATGCTGACAGCTGCATCGGCACGGCGGGGCTCTGTTTGAGAGCGGGGATCCCCCGTAAAGCTGCCAATAAACAGAAATGACTGGATTCTGTAAGTCCTCACTCTGACAGGCTGGCAGGGCTCAGGCTCTGTAACTTAGAAGGCAGGATCAGCTGTGCAGCTCTCGGAGAGTCACTGTATTATTGACAGAGGAGGGCACACTGACAGTGTGGCCGCGGGGAGGGCGACCCAGTAACTCGGCCTGGCCCTGCGCTGGCACACGGCCGGAGCTCCGGGTGACTGGGGAAACCCCTGTCTGTGCTCTGCAGCAAATGACACCCTGCCAAAAACACTCCTGAGCCCCAGCCCTTGTTCTGAGGGATGGACAGGGCAGGAACTGTCCCAGGTCAGGTGAGGTGCCAGGCAGTAACTCCGAAGCTGTTCCCTCTCCATCACCATTTCTCTAGTAGCGCTGGTAAGGAAGGACACTGCTCTTTCTTTAACACTCTGAATCTTTTTCCTCTTTGTTCTGTATTAAATTTCTCTGTGACAATAAAATAATTCTCTCTTTGAAACAGTTTATCTGATGGGGGAGGGTCTGATGAGGGAAACAATCAGCTGTTCAGGAGGTAGGCAGAGGTTTAATGAAGCTCGGAGGCAGCTGGGCTGTCGTGATGGTCAAGTGAAGTTCAGTTTGAGAGGAACTCACGCTCAAAAGTGGATTGATTTAAATCAGATTTTAATCTTGGTTTAGCTCTGCCAGCAGCACAAACCCCTTATTTAAATCCATCCATTTTAATCATCTTGTTTTTCGGTTGTACTTCACTTCTGTTCCTGGAGGGAACTGGATTTCCATGTTCCGGCATAACCGTTTCAACATGATTTTCCATGGATGAGAGCCTTCACCCCACGGCTCTGCTGGCCAGCAGGGGGTAGGAGCAGCACCGTATGCAAGCAATTATATGATTTACTGCTCCAGATGCCTAAGTCTTCCATTTTCAACATCTTATTTACTAGATGATTGTATTTTTTACTCACTATTTCAGTCCAGCCACATCTGGATTGAAACAGATTAATTGGAAACTCTCCCCATTTTAGCTGGATCACCAGCAGTGAGCCAAAACTAAGGGGGAAAAGTACACAGCCACCTTCTGTGTTTGTTGCTGTTAATAAATCAGTTCCAGTGTCAGAGATTTGGGTGATCCAGAGCCCCACACTGCTGGTGAAGCCCGAGCTCCAGCTCCGTGGAAATTCACGGCGAGGTTCCTGGAGCGGTGTAGGGGCGTTCCCACGGACGGCTGCGGCTCAGCTGAGACGTGTCCCGGCCCCGGCCCCAGCCCGGAAAACCTCCTCCCCAGCCTTGGAGGGCTGCCAGCCCCTGCTCTGCGGGGGCCTCCTGCACAGTCAGCGGGTCCGTGGCCAGGATCGCTTTAAACGTGACGGCAGGCGGGATCAAAACCCCATCCCAGATGGGCCTGCTTGGGAAAGAAGGGAGCGTTTCAATCATCAGCTTTTTTGTTTGGTATTATCTATTTTTAATCCTGCTTACTCCAGCCACCTAAATGTACCTTGGCCAAGCCTGCCAAAAATACCCGCCCTGTATTTTGTGTGGGGTTTGGGAACAGAACAGCAGATCCCCAAACCCCCCACTTGCTGAACCCGGCGTAATCAGACCCAGAAAGAGCCCTTCCTTTCTACTGCTCGACTTGGAAAACTTTTCCACTCCACCAGCCCTCTGGGAACGCTGGGGGCTCGGTGCCTGCGCTGGGGGCTCGGTGCCTGCGGCGCTGCCCACGGGATGCAGTGCCCAGGCAGTGCCCAGACCTCCCTGTACACATCCAGAACACGGCGGGGCTGAGATTTATCCCCCTCGCCCTCCTCCCATTCCTTGTTTTCCAGCCGCTCTTTGTGCTGGGACAGAGCAGGAGCAGGGAACGTCCCCGGCTCCGTGCTGTACATGGTGTGTTTGTATGTGTGCCCAGCACCAAAATAGACACATGTGTGAGAGCTATTGAGAGGAAGTGAAAAGTTCACCCTGTACAGTACTACGAATGCACAAACATGTTGTTGGCCGTTCCCTCCTCCCGCTCAGTAAACACTTTATGTAAGGCAGGGAGAGCTGGAGGCATCGCTGCACCGTCCTGGCAAAACCCCTCCGCTCTCCCCCTCCTCCAAACCCAGCTTTGCCCTGGCAGCTGGAAACTCCCCAGCCTGTTTCCTGCTTTGCAGATCAGTGGGGCAGCGCCGGCCGTAAATATCCCTCCTCGAGGTTTGGGAGCCCCGTTGCCCCCTCACCCCGGGGCTCTCGGGGGCTGTTCGGAGGCCGCAGCTGAGCACGGAGCGCAGGGGGGGAAGGGAACCCGTCAGCTGCCAGAAAAAGTTGATGCAGGGGAGGGAGAATAAAAAAAAAAAAAAAAGCCGAACAAAGAGCCTCGTTCAGGGCGGCTGGTTGGTTTTCCTGTGGGTGCTCGAGGCAGAACGTTGTGTACCGGCCCCGCTCACACCTCCCCTCCCCGGCTCCTCGCACCGCTGGCCACGGCCCCAGCCCGGCCACGGCGCCAAGGCACGCGCTCGCCCCGCTGCCCGGGCAAGGAGCCCGCCCGGGAGGGCCCCTCCAGCATCCAGGGTGCAGCAGAGCGGGGCAGCACCCCCGAAACACCATCCCCCGTCTTCTCCCCCAGAAGCACCCAAGGGGAGATGAGTTTCAGAGCCCCCCCCCCCCGCAAATCTGCGGTGCCAACTCGGCATCTCAGCTGCCAAAAACCTGTCCACCGCCCTCCTGGATGCACGTTCCTTGTTCCTCTCCGCCCGGCTCCTGCAGCTGCTTGTCCCGGGGGCGAGAGACGGGCCCGGGAGGTTTGGCTGTGGCAGGGACCTGCCCGGCCGGCGGCACGCCGGGACCTGCCGCCGCGTCCCACGCAGCCACAGCTCACCTGTCACACCTGGCCACGGGCACAGAGCGTGCACAGGGTCACCCCTCGTGTGCCCCCCACCCCCTGCCACAATCGGGGACCCTGTGAGCGAGGACAGGGCCAGAGAGGGTGCGAAGGACACCCACCCAGGAGGCACCGAGGGGACACCCCAAAAACGGCAGCCTCAGCCCCTCTGTTACATTCCCCACGGGAATGCTTGGACACGGAGGATCACAGTGGCCTCTGCGCCGACCCCGAGGGACAAAATAATGTGCAAATCTACCTAAAAGCAGCTTTTTGGGCCACGGAGCTGCCGGGAACAAACAACTACACCGCAGGCAGTGGCAGCACCTTGTGGGGCAGGAATTCACCCCCCACCGTACGTGGGGCACAGTTTGTACCCGACGTGCACCAAGGCACTCGCTGAGCCCCTCAATGCATCTCCTCCCTTCCTCCTCCTCCTCCTCTCCAGCCCCCTCCCCCTGCAGCCCTGCAAAACCGCTGAGCTCAGCACATCCCGGGCAGGGGCCCAGCCCAGGACCCTCCCCACTGCCAGCCGCTCCCCCCGGCTCCGGCTTAACCCTTTGCAAAGCCAGCCAGGCTGGAGCTCGGAATGATCCAGCAAATCTCAACACGGAAGGGCATCCCACAAGGCACAGCCGCCTGGGAACAGCCTGTCCGGAGAGTTTAGATCCCTCTCTGTTCTCCCGGAAAGGCCAGCAGGTCAGGGGGAAGACACACTGCTCCTCCACAAAAACCATGCTGGGTTTGAGCCAGCAGCAGGACCTGGGGAGGGGAAGCTCAGGGATTAGCTACACTGGAGCTAACTAAACTTTGCTTTCCAGCCCAAAACCATTCCTCGAGGCTCGGCTGAGGTGGAGCAGCCTGGATCTCAGCCTCTTTTGGGGAGGAGAAGGAGCTGCCAGCCCCACATCCTCTCCCTTCCCAGCCGAAGTGCACGGACTTATGTTGGGATTATTTTATTGCAGGGATCAAAAACTACATTTCCCTTTAAAACTTGCCATCACACCAGAGCTGCCTGCTCCCCTGCCTACCAGGAGATGCTATGGCAAAGAAAGAAAAATATTTATGCTTGGCTCCAGAATTCCAGCTTATTTTTAGCAAGGCGTCTTCCCTCTGGTCCTTTACTTCTTTTTTGTTTATTTGCCATTTTCCCCCTGTTTTGACCCCAAAACCAGCAGTTCCTCATCTATTTTCAGCCTCACCCAGCCAACATTTGTACCGACTTAGTGGTTGTGGGGACAAATAAACCCACGAGGTACATTTTGTGAAAAACAGGATCCTAAGCACCATCCAGCCGTTTCTGAGCGTGAGTGTGCAAATATCGGGGTGTATTTCTAACAGCTGGGGTTGGAAGCTGCTCATCTTTTATTCCCAAAAGCCGAGCAGTGGCTCTGCAAGCTGCAGGCGGGAGCCTGGACTTGTTCCCAGCTCCCCACACAGCCCCTCTGCTCCCTGGGATGCTCCCCACTCCCAAAAGGGCGATGGATTCAAGCTTCGAGCCCTAAAAAGCAGCTGCTGGTGGGGTGCCCAGACCCCCCAGCACCCGCTGCCCCGCACCCTTTGGGCAGGGGGTCACCACGGAGGGGGTCCTGTCCCCCTCGCCGCCGGGCACTTTCTGCACTGTGTTTACTGCCGGGCTGTTATCAATCTCGGCTCGGGAAGGACAGGACCCAAGATAGGTCCTGGGGTGACTGCAGAGTGTGCTCAGCCCCTCCGATAAAGCCGCGGGCAGCGCAGCGGGAGGACAAACAAAGCCCTTTATCGCCAGTTCGGCTGCCTGAGCTCCTCGGGGTCTGGCTTGGGGAAGGTCACGTACGCGGGGCCGGGCACGCACGGACCGGGGGGCGGGGGACACACTCGCAGGGCGGAGGGCTTGCGGGATGGCGGGGGCTCGTCCCGGTTTTAGGAGCCACGAGGGAAGGAAGATGGGGATTCTCCCCAGCCTGGCACTGAGCAAAAGCCCATCCCAGCCTGGCCGTGCCTTGCCCTCGCCCCCCTCGATCTTCAACCCTGTCTCGCTCCAACATCCCTTATTCCCTTAAGAAGCCAGGACAACGCCAGCTAATGGGACACCGGGATCACTCCCGCTCCAGGGCTAATGGGACACCGGGATCACTCCCGCTTCAGGGCAGGGGGCTCAGCCCCAATCCCATGCCGGGGCAGCAGGATCCGCCCGCGCCGGTGGCACCACGCAACCACCGCCTAGAAAACGAGGCGGCTCAAACCCAAGCCATAGGGAAACCCCCGATGTCCCAGAGCAGGGAGGGTCGGGGGGACATGGCGTGTGTCCCCCTCCCCAGCGGGCCGTGCGCCCAGGCGGTGCTGGCACGGGGCCGGCCCCGGGGGCGCGGGGGTGAGTCTGGGCGCTGAGGGGGTGCCCAGGGGCGGTGCCCGGGCCCTGGGGTGTGCGGGGCACGGGGGGGACCCGCCCGACCCCCTGATGCAACCGCGGGTCCCGTTTGCAGCGCCCGGGGCCGCCGGGGAGGGGGCGTGGCCTGGCGCGGAGGGGGGCGGGGTCGGGAGCGGAGGCGTGGCCGAGCGGGGAGGGGGCGTGGCCTCCCGCTGTCACCGGGCAGGAGAGACGCGGCGGACGTGCCCCGCGCTCCCATTGGCGGGCGCGGGGCGGGGGGCGGG